AGACCTTTCGTAATTTGCATGCAGCTTGATGAAAAAATGTCATTGTTCAAAAATTGTTGGCACGCTACGACGAAACTGCTTGCGAGATGTCTCTTGATAGAACTGGAGAACTTGGTTTTCTAAGGTTCTGATTTTCTAGAGACTCTGATTCCGAAATGTCGATAAAGCCTTTATATATACCGCTTCTAATTGAAAACTCTTTCAGCTATTCGAATCTTTTATTAGATTTCTTTTGGCTATTTTAGTCGAAAAGGAAAAGCAAAGATAAAGCTGAACGAATTAATTCTGTGACTCAGCATACATGAAAAATGGAAAGGTGTCACTCAATTTATTGTTCTTCTTTTCGCTGCGATTTTGTTTAATAAAAATGTAAAAAGGTCATTAAATTAAGGAAAAATGTGACTTTTCTACGGCTTCGGCTGACATCGCTTGTTAGTTTTGCTTGAAATGGCATTACAGGCATTTTACAAAAAACTCCTGATTTCGAAAAACTGGATTTGGGCATCCTGCGTGTCAGTTAATAGAACAGATACACTACTATCAATTGAAGGTCCTGTATAAAACTCTTCTGTCAGAAAAGATATGTGTTTTTTTTGCACGAAACCTTTTAATCGACAAAAGCGAACAAAAAACCACACAAAGCCTTTGGAGCTCCGAAATCATTTGGGGTTTCATAGAAGTTACGAAACCTTGCTGGTTTCGGGAGCTAACTACGATACTTTTAGGGATATCATATTAAGTACAAAATCCTTTAGGTTCTGTAAAAATACATTTTTTTTAGAGTGTGGAGACTCAAACAGAACTCATTTCTGGAGGAGTCAAAAAAAGATACCACGATCGGTTTCAACCTTTCTCAAGGGTCTCATAAGATGGTTTCCTTCGAGAAAGACAGAGTTCCGGTACGACAAGCAACACAAGTTTGTCTCCACCGTTTGGGTGTGAACTATCAAACAATGAGAACAGAACACGATATCGATGGCCGCTGCACTTATTCTGCTCCTCTTCAAAAAAGTATTATTTTCATTCTATCAAAAATGATTCATCCTTTAACATAAACTGTATCTAGTAACATTTGCTCAACAAGCGTTGAGACAATTGTGAAAAGCGCCATACCTGTGGTTCGATCTTGGAAGGTGGTCACACATCTTCTAATTAGTCGCGCTCTTTCTCAGGGTCTGTCATACAATAAAAAGTAAATTACATTTGTGAGCTTATGTCTTCGTTTTTTATTTTGTAACATAGAAAAAACTTATTTTGGATTTGAGACCGAGACGTCAATTTGAATCAAATATTATAGAAAATCTCAGAGCAGTTTAATTCAGAGCGAAAAATAAAAAACTTTCAGATTAAATTTTCAGTCTTTAAATCTTAAAAATAGCACAAAAAGAATTCAATTTTTAAGACGTGATTCATAATACTGTATTTTTCATATTCACGTGTGAGATTTTCTCTAAGAAAAATGATTGACTAGCGTATTATCAAAAGATTTTTTTGCGGATCAAATCGAGTCAATGAATAATTTTGGGATTCGATTCAGATCACAGTTCACTGAACCCGTTTCGATCTCTATTTTGAATTAAGTTTGGTAACTGAGTATAGATTCTGTCAACCCAAATGTACAGGAAAATATTCATAGAAAAAGTAAATTGAAAAGATATCTGATATTATTAGCATCTCTCACTTGTAATCGATTTGGAGAAAACAAAAAAAAATGATATCACAATAAAGACTGAAGAGAATAATAACGATATTTAGTTTCAAAATTATTTTTTGTTTTTTGCGGTAAACATAACATGAAACTGCAGCGTATCGTTCGTATATACAGAAGACATATATTAATTGATTGTATAAAGAATTTTTCTCTTCTTATTGATTTACCGAATTTTTCATCTTCAGCCAGTTTTAAATCCTTTATAATATTAATTTATCAAGAAATATTTTGATTTTCACTGTGCATTTTTGCATGACATGCACAAAAACAATAGCCAAAAAATGATTACAAAAAAATAGAATAAAGCAACAACAAAGTAGAAAAAGCAACAACAACATAATAATTTTAACAAAAGCAATTTCATATACAAAACGAATCATCAATCTATAGATAATGTTGAACAAGTGAAACAAACTCTTGGAACGTCAGTAAAAAAAACATCCGTTACAGAAATTTCTCGCTGTGAAAGTAAACGGATTTTGATATATTGTTTATTCTTTTGAAGAAAAATAAGATTAAATTTAACAGATATCGCCCACATTGAATGAATGAGTATTTAAAAACTGAGCATCATTTTCATAGCTGACAGAAAAGACGCAATGATATAAAGAAACATAAATAGTAGAAAAATTAGAGCCATGTCTTTACGAATTGTTGTAACAGAATGATCACAGAAGGCACATTAATTTACAGTGTTTCTCGACTAAACAATTGTCTGAGCTTGATACTCGAGTTATACATCAACATGAAGAAGAAAAAAGTTCATTTAGAGTCGCCGAAAAGTGCTTTTTTATCATTTTTTTTTCGAGCACATTTGATAACTCCAAAGATTTTCTATTTTTGGCAAGGGGTACTGGCAAAAGTCGAGAAAAAATTTTCAAATAGAATAACGAAAAAAAGTTTCTATGGAAAAATAATATTAGTTTCAAAATTTTTTCTCAACTTTTGCCAGTATTCCTGACCGAAAATAGAAAATCTTTGGAATTATTGAGTGTATTGAATAGGAAAAAGCACGACTTTCCACGATTCTAAATGAACTTTGCTTTTCTTTCGGTGAAATGTTCTACGTATATGTACCATCATTCTTAACAAACGTTATGCTTTCAAAGTATAAAGCGAAGTAAACTATCATAAATATTAATAATAAAAAGACAAGTGTCACCCAAACCTAATTTTGAAAGGTCATGGCTATATATAAAGGCTTTAATTTCCTAAATCATTAAACAATAACTGAGATTATAACGAGTCCCATATATTTATGTAGTGATATATTCATTTATAAACTCATTCATGTATTCTTCTAAGATTAACCGTGATATTACGTTTTTGGGCTTGTGATAACATTGTTATATCTGGAATAGGTCTTGGTTGCCAATATGTTTGCGTTCTTAATGCTCGATCAATAATCTGTATTCTACTTTTAACTTCATTCATTGATCTCATAAAATATGTTTGTAACCATTCGATAGCCACATCAGAAGTAAAATAGAGAGAGCATATTTGTTGAAATATATCGATAAAATGTGTCATTTGTTCATCAAGATAGACAAGTTTTTCTTTACACTCTTCGGCACGTTTATAATGAATAAAATTATAACGAAGATGTAAATCATTCACATAAAGTTTAACAAATAACATTGTTTCATCATATTGCTGTATTATTAACTCATGTTGAAACATAGCTTCATACAATTCATGACCTAATCAAATATCATATAGATATATAGTTTCAATTCTAGTCTATACTACGAGTATATACCTGGAAATGTACAGATGATTAATACTGGATTTGCTCGTTTTTCCCATAACGGTATTTGATCACATCCAAGTATTTGTCGTCCAATGGTATCATTACTGATCGAAGTAATCTCACCATATTGAGCTGTTTGTAACGTGTATGCTAATGAAGGAATCGAAGATGGCATTAGTTCACATAATGACAGAAAATGATCGTACCTATAATCAATGGGTACATGTTTTTTTTTGAAAATAGTTCTTGTTTTATTTCAATCCAAATTCAAATATTTGACTACTACAAATAAATGAAAAATTACCTTGACCATCCTGTAATCGCTACTCCTTTAAAATTGATAGAATATCTTCTGTTTGCTTGATACATTGTTTTGATCCACGATTCTTGATTTCGATAATGATGTCCAACATAGGACATGACTGATATTTCACTAGATGAACCTTTGTAGGTACTTGATATCCATACTTCGGGAAAATAGGCCATTCTAAAAATTAAACAAAATAAACGTATAAAAATGGTCTAGACATGCACTCTTTTTCTCCTACTTAGACCAAAACGTATCATCAAACCATGACATAATATCGTCAGCATATGCCCATACCATTGGTACAACAAGCTTAGACAACTCAGTGCCCTTTCGAAAACAAATAGAATATTTAATTTAGATTGAAATTTTTCCTTTCATGGTCAAAACTTACATTGCTTTCTCCACCATACAACTGTGATAGCATGTCATGCCATATGAATAATTTAATTTCTGGTCGCTTTGATCTAACATATTTGGCAACTTTTGTTACATGTCTAAAGAAAGAGAATAAGTTTTTCTGTTGAACATTAGATCTTTATTAGATTGGTATTAGACATTTTTTTTTTTTACTTTAGCAAAAAAAAATCAAAAATACAAACATCTATTTGCAGTTTCGCGAGTAAAAATATTATGGGTTTACTATTTAGTTAACATTTAATGGAAAAGAAAATGTCATCGATCTTTTCAAATTACCAACAAATTATCATATATTCTAAGCAGAATAGAAGTGTCACACAAGCTTGTCAAGATGATATTCACTTATTGGAATAAAATTAGAACAAGAAGAAAAGAAAAACACCTACAAATCGTACATGATCTCAATAAAGTTGAAAGAATTATTACATATATATTCAATCATTTATATTCATTCATCATCAATATGGTACTATCAATCCTTGAATAGTTGTTAATACCACTTGGATTCAACAATATTTTTTTGTTTGAGTACTATACTATAAAAGGTTCACTACCATAAAAAAGAAAATTCTTTCTTGTTCATATTATGTATATGTTCTAATTATTATTATTACACATATAACATATTATTATTGCGTAACTCGTCAAATCAGATAGATCATTTATATCTTGAAACTGTCAAAAAAAAAAGAAAACTATGAATTTTTATTTTGTTGTACATATAATAAGAAAAAAAAGTATGTTCATATTAGCAAACAGGCGGTGATATTGATCATTTTACTAAAATTATTTGTACAGGTAAAATATAAACAATGATGAATTGGCATTATAAGCAACAAAATTTATTATCAAATCGAATTCAAGAATCAGATCGGATTAGACGACGATATCCTGATCGTGTACCACTAATTGTTCAATCAAATTATGATGATCGATTATCATCAACTAATTCCAATATGAACTATTCATTATTTAAATCATTTACAACATCAACATCATCATCTGATTTAACAACAACTGGCTTTCGATATCGTCTTGAACATGAAAAATATTTAGTTCCAAATGAATTATCATTTGGACAATTTGCCTATAATATTCGAAAACGATTAAGATTACGTTCTGAGAATGCACTCTTCTTTTATTTGGGAAAACATTTTTGTCAACCAACATTAAGTTCAACAATGGAACAACTATACAAAGAATTTAAAGATGATGATGGATTTCTATATGTATGTTATACAGATGAAAAAGTATTTGGATAAATATGCTACGTATATGAAACTATAAATTGTGAAAAATAATCTTGAAATATGTAGACATTTTTTCTATACAAAAACTGTTATCAACATTTGTTCTAGACATTTTCATTTTGAATCTTGGAAATATCAAATAATCTAACGCTACCTTTTTTTGTATCATCTTTTACAAGCAGTAGATTACCTTACGAAAAGATCAAATTCACTTTTTAAATTTAATTTAGAACACTCTGGATGTACCAATCGATAGTAGACTTCATCACAACCCAAATGTAAATAGTTCACGTCTGGATGAAGTTCAAGCATTTGATCTACCATATCTAAATAAACTTGATATGATCAGTCAAAATAAAGGTGGATAAATCAGAACACCGAAATCATCTATCTTAACGTCAAAGAATGTTTGAGATTCGTAGTAAAGATACGCAACCTAATCCACACCCGACCCTATTCAAGGATAAAATCGAGTCAGATTTTGATTTATTCTCAAACAGTACAGACTAAGATATAGATAAAAGTTTCGATTTTATATTACTCGATAGATATTGTCTTATTCTTTAAAAATTTATGAAAATAAAGTGACCTGTCTGATGCAAATTGTGCTCGTAGGGATCAGTATCTGCTGTTTTATACGAAAAAGATAAAAATATCGCATATTAAATAATAATATGTTACAATATGTACGGAAAAAGTTATGTTGAATGATGGTACATGCTTATTATTTATCAAAAACATTTTTCTAATTGAATTGGATTGAGTTGAGATTGTGTTCTCTTCATCCGTGTAGATTTCTAATTCGTAAATTGGGTAGTATAGAAGGTGGATATGGATAATTATTTGAGTTTTGTTATGCATCGAACGATGTATCCTTTTAGAGCTTTGTAGTAGAATCAAAAAATTCTTTACATTATTTCAACTAGTTTTACCGATGAGGATGGATATCTTTCAATTGGACATGATCCGTTTAAACTCATTTGAAGACTCTTCCTCTTTGATTCATTTAAAATTCATTACAGTGACGTTTCGCTGTAGAATACAGCTTCTTCAGCCTTACAGAACAATTGGATTAACTACAAAAACAATATTTTACACACACTATATAGATATAACAGAGAGAAAGAGGAAGCAAAACAAACTTTTCTTTTGTACAGTTCTTTTTCCTTCTTCAACTTTTTAATAGTGATATGGAACAAGGCGGTATAGTGACAGACTGGATGAAATGAACCTTTCCGTATCACTATTAAAAATGCAAGAATCTGAGTCTTTTTTGCTTCATGCAAAACAGGATTCCATATTTCACTAATTGTTTCATGTTTATTGACAGAAACATTAACCAAGGAATAGACAGCTTCTTTGAATTTTCTCTTTTTATAATGTTTTTCTTGGTCAACAATAAATGCATTGTCTGTGTCAAATAGACACTGATGATTATTTGTGACTTGGTGTTGAACCATTTCTGATTTTTCGTCTAAGTTATTGATTAACTTAAAGTGCTGTCCAACTCTTTTCTCAAAACCAACTTTTGTTTCACCGTTGCATATTCTCGGAGGATTACAGTCGCATTGGATCTGATAAATGACTGCTCTAGAAGGTGTTTTCAAGTTACGATTGAAATGAGATTGCAATTTGGAAGGATAAGAAAAGTACAATTTGACCTTCAGCTTTTCCAAACGTCTTTTAAGAACTTCAATGCCTGGTACATAAGGAAGACTTAAACTAAATTTAAAATCATCAGTTTTCTTCAATGAGTTGCCATTACCATTGCCAGACTGACAGGCCTCTTGAACTAATTTTTCCACTTGTTTTACAGAATATTTCGAATTCAGTAGTATCTGCTTCAATATTTCCAGATCCTCTTTTTGCTCACTACCATCTTTTGTTGTCTGCAAAATTCTTGTTATCATAGCTATTTTAGCTATATTAGATTTTATTGATTTACTATGGCTTGATTTATAACTCAATAGACGATCTGCTATTGTACCATCTCACACTTAATTTCATTTGACCATTTGATTTAACTCTTTTTACAGTTGTATCGAGGAAATTAATTTTAGACTTTTTCTCATATTCATACGTGAATCGAATTGTTTCTGTGATTGTGTTCAAAGTTTCCACATAATCTTTCAACTCAGATTCTTGCATTTTTAATAGTGATACGGAAAGGTTCATTTCATCCAGTCTGTCACTATACCGCCTTGTTCCATATCACTATTAAAAAGTTGAAGAAGGAAAAAGAACTGTACAAAAGAAAAGTTTGTTTTGCTTCCTCTTTCTCTCTGTTATATCTATATAGTGTGTGTAAAATATTGTTTTTGTAGTTAGTTCAATTGTTCTGTAAAGTCTGAAGAAGCTGTATTCTACAGCGAAACGTCACTGTAATGAATTTTAAATGAATCAAAGTGGAAGAGTCTTCAAATGAGTTTAAACAGTTCTACAACTTTCCTCTCTCGTAATCAAATTGGACATGATATGCATTTATACTTACCAAATAGAACAGTGTATGACTCTTGTAAACATGGAGAGATAACTTGTGGATATCGTCTGTCTTCTCTTAAATGCATAAATTCTTTTAATTTCAATACATATTCTAGATGTCCATAAGTTTGCAATAGTGGCATTATTTTTAAATCATTTTCTTTTGCTGCTTGTAATAATTGTTGGATATCTGTTTCTGTATAATGTTTTCCATGTACAACTGATTTCAAATTTCCTTTAAATGGAAACATATCTTCATACTCAATTAGAAGTCCACTAGCGCCCAATTTTTTCAATAATGGAAATAATTGTTTGAAATAATCGATTTTAGGTGCTGCACCTTTCAAATCAAGATGAACAAAACGTTCTACATTTGTCATATTTAAAATATTAGCATTTTTTAATGGTAAACGATATGTATCGAACGATGCAACTGCACTTTCAGGTTGTTTAAATTGCGTTTTAGAATAGTGATTTGGTTGAAGTTGTGATTGATGAGATATATCAACATTGATCAGACGTTTGTTAACTTGTTCATCTTCTTGCCGACCAAGTTCTTGTTGTTTTAAACGACGAGGTCGTTCTAAATATAAAATTTAAAGATAAAGGTAATAGAAATGTCTAGTGAGGTATAATAGCAGTTGCATTATCAATATAATAAGAATATGAGTTATGAACGAAATTCGTTTCCACTTACCTTTTGGCTGCACTACTTTATAGTGCGATAATGGTGTTTGTGATTTTTGGTTATTGAATTGATCAACAGTAGATGATGGTGCTAATGTTAATGGTAATTTGGTTTGATGTGGTTTAATATCGACAAATGTTTTATTTAACTTTAAGAATGAATACCTACGCCTATTCCTTTTTGTTACATATGGAAACCGTTGGTGGGAATGATCATCATGTTTATAATTTGAATGTACATTTGTTGCTTCCTGCGAGTGTAAGATATCATCGATCGTTGAGAATTTTGATGGTGAAATACTATCGCGAAATACCATTAAACAAACTACGATTATAATAGATAATGAACAGACAAACAGTAGACTACGACGAAGTTGACGACGACTGAACATAGTGTCAAATGCTATCTATGAGCACTAATAATGTGCGTATTGAACGTGAGTCTATCATTCACTGAATACTTTTTAAAGTTAGACGAGCAGTTGATTCGATTAACTAAATACAAAATAAAATTGACCACAATGTGTTGCAGAAATTCTGAAACACTTCATTTAACAGTCGCCATTATTAGAAACATCATTCTATTTGTATGATATATTTTATTGAAAGTTCTACTATTTTGTATCTAATACAGTAAACATTTCTCTACAAAATTAAATGTTGATTCGATGAATCTTTGACGAAATATAAAAATTTTAAAAAACAAAAAAAAGTGCGATTTTGGTGTCATCTGAAAAATAAGTATAACTTTTTAGGAACAAATGTTAGAAATGTGAACGATATTTCAGTTAGAAGAGATATGAATTTTTTACAAATTGAAGTGCAGTAGACTTTGACCGGTTTTGTCATTCAAATACAGCAGCCTTTAGAAAACCGTCAAAACTATTGATTCTTTGTCATATGATATGATTTTTTATGATTTCATCACAGTTTTCACAACTCATCTGCAACTGTCTACAGTCATATTAAAAACCATGTCGTTATATAAAGCGAGTTCTTACGAGTTTAAGAATAAGACCGACATTATTTGATCTAATCTCGAAGCACCATGCATTGATGAATAAACACCAGGACTTTTGTATCTGGTAATAGTTGTTTACTTTGACTCACTCTCATAATCTACGATACAGAGAAGTAACGGTGCAAACTAATAGAGGACCTATTTCAACGTTCAGTCAGTTTATGGAACACAGTTTTCTTTGGGCAGTTCCTGATGCGATCAAGAATCTGATATCGTTTCTGTCCTAATGTCTCTCCAAGATCGTCTATTAGAAATTATATCTCGGACGACTCATGAAAATTGATCGAATTCAAAGATTCTCATACGTCCAGATTGTGGCACATACCACGTTACATTCAGAAAAAAAATGTTCAGAACAAACAAACAAGTTTTCAGTAATACACAGAATTCTTAGCTGTAAAAAAACTCGCTGGATTTAAGGTTTGTAATGAAAATGAGAATTATATCAAGCTCTGCAAATTACTGAAAACTTGTGTGTTTGTTCTGAACATTTTTTTTCTGAATGTAACGTGGTATGCGCTACAACCTGGACGTATCAGAATCTTTGAATTCGATCAATTTTCATGAGTCGTCCGAGATATGGAGAGACATTAGGACAGAAACGATATCAGATTCTTGACCGCATCAGGAACTACCCAAATAAAACTGTGTTCCACGGAAGAACTAGCTGAACAGTTAAAGCCGCTCTCTCGTAGATGTGTCTGAAAGAAGGTGAGAGAATGTTCTGAGTGTTGCTCTAGAGAAACGTGAATGAATGACTAAATCAGTAGAGCTGTAAGATTTCAAGTGATGAGTAAAGAGCTGATTTTAATACAGAACATACTGACGTGTGGTAATTCCAATACACAAAAACACCAAAAAGATAAAAGATAAAATCATACAAAAAGAACAATGTAAACAGCCCAAAGCTAAAATGGAAGTAAAAAAAGTTGTTCTTTTTTCGCTTATAAATCACGTAATAATAATATTTAATCAAGCTAGAAAATCCCGCCTAAACACTTCTGCCTAAAGCACTAATAGAAGACTATTTCAGACTTCTTTTTATTCCAATGAGTTACTATGAAGGAAATGAAACTGTTAATTTAGTTTAAAATATTCATAAGCATTAAAAAATTTGAATGAACGCATTATTGGTATAAATTTATAGATGACTGGAAGTAAAAATCTTTATGATCGAATATTAACAATATTAAAACTTGTGACCGATAAACTAAACTGGTAGTGATAAGAGAGAATGCTTTCTGTTTTATGAAACTACACTATAAGCCTTGACGACAACAAGACACACCATTTAAAAATGTAATAGGCTATCCATCTCAAAATAGCATGAGTACTTTGTCAAATAACGTGATCAAACTTTGGTCATGCATCTGGTGCTGTTAGCCTGACAAGCTAGCATAGGGAATGGTAAGATCTTGTCATAGGATTCTTTGATCAGGCAAAATATGGTTCAAGAGTAAAACAGTTGTATATGTACAAGCTGAAGTTATTTTTTCCTTCTCATTCGAAATGAATATGACCTGTGCTATCTACATTCTTTCTCTAATAAAGTTAGGAAAGAGAGCAGTTGATGATTTAAATAGTGAGGTAATGAAGTACAAAACTGCTATAAACATGATTAACTAATCATAATTTATTTATTTCATTGATATTTCGACAAAATCCACTGTCATCATCAGAATGAAAAAAGTGTAAGTGAGTGTGTCAAAATTAAGACTATACATAGTCAAATATATAATGAAAAATATAGAACGAAAAACGACACGTCCAGTCTGTATATGAGTAGAGTTCTTACAGAAGCGCTTCTTTTTCATTCTGATGATGATAGTGGATTCTGTCGAAATATCAATGAAATAAATAAATTATGATTAGTTAATCATGTTTATAGCAGTTTTGTACTTCATTACCTCACTATTTACATTCTTTCTTTTCTGATAAAGCAACACTTTTTATTTGACAAAGAAAAAGATAGCAAATCATTAAACAGATAAATAACTTTGCACAATACACGTTTATGCTCTTCTTATTATGATACTGTGATAGTATCCGTAACGACGATAACGATGAAGAACGACTGTCTGATCCACCAAAACTTCTTCCACTAGTCCTACTGTCTGACAAAATTTTCTTAATTTTGCTCATTTCATCCATTTCGTGAAATCTTACGAAATGGTTAAAGGTTATTCAACGTGTATGATGAATACTACCAAAATGTAGCATCCATTCATCTCGAACTCAAAAATCGACGACATATTTCCTCGATCATGTAGCAAGAATACAAATCAGATTGAACTCCACAATACTTTATAAATTCTGACAAACAACCATAAAAAGCAAAGAAATAAAAAACATACCCATAGGTCTCATCATCTTCAAAAACCGTATCAAAACTACCAATATCTTTGGGATCGAGTTGACACTAATGCCAAAGTGCTGACAATACTTTATTTTTTACTAATCTGTATGAAAAACATGAAATAATTGAATCTATTTATTTTTGTGCATTTCGGATGACTATGCCTTTTTATTTTCCTTTGATTGTTTCTATATGTGTTATTTCTTTGTCGTTTTTTTTTGTTACTCTACTAATCTCGTATTTTTGCTTTTTTTTGATGATGTACGCCTCTCGAACGATAAAACAAAAGTAAATAGATATGGATCTAGTCAAATCAAAGCAATGGAAAGTGAAAGTTAGATACTTTTTTATTTGAATCTTTTTACATCAAACACCCAGAAAGATATTGCAAAATAGAAAATGATAGCTACTTACTTTTAACTATTGTTAGTGTGTTGTGCAATTCACGTTCAGCAAACATTATTCTCTTCTCTTATCAGATTTTTAAATATAGAATAGCAAAAGTATCGTAGAACAGCTGTAAATAATACAGAATGACAACATTATCATACGGTTTTTCTCATTTTTGTTCTAAAACAGGTTCAACAGGAATTCCATGATGGTGATGAAGACCTTTATTCAAGTTATGTTTTTTTGTTCTATGCTTATTATTTTTTTCATTTCTTTTCTGTTAAGAAGAAAAATGTGTAAAAGAATGATAAAAAGAGAATGGAAAACAAAAGTTATTTTTTTCCTGAAATATCATTTTGACGTTGCCAATTCTGTCTGTTGTATGAATGAGAACATTGAACTTCTTAAACTATTTTAAAAAAACAACAACAACAATAGAACAAATCGAATACGTACAATGGATTGGAAAGCAAAAGAACATAAAACTTCGTTCCTTATGTCGACCGTCTCTTTGGATATGTAAAAATGCTATTGAGAATTCTAGAAAGGCAAATAAAAGGCACTCAGAACTGATGTAATAAAATAGAGACAGAAAGAGAAAAAAGTCGAGTAAAGATAAGGACGACGAACTTGTATTAGGTTATTTAATGGTGTTGATCTGAGAGAAAAAGAGAAGAATAAAACTAAGTCTAATTACATCCGTTTATGTTGCCATACCGGAATAAGCAAAAAAAAAGTGACTTTCTTTTAAAAAGACTCTGTTGTGCACTTTCTGCTTTTTCCGTTCTTTTGCCAACGATTGCAAGAGCTTTATCTGAGAATTCCACCAATAGTGCACAATCGACAAAAAAAAGGAAGATAAGCTTGTAGTTTGGTGACAAAGAGGTAGGTGGATACTTTTCTGGCTCAAAACATTTTAGAGTTTTTTGCATTGAAACCATGTCAGGGGATGCTCAGAACATTCCCAGACACTTAGTTTCGCAAAATCTCTCGATCAAGTTTTTGAGGTCTGAGGTCTCCTACAGAATTTCTGGAAGACTTCCATTTTTGATTTTTTCAAACCCACCTGGTAATATGTATTCGACCACGCTGATCACGAATATCGATATTAGAAGTGTCAAAAATAGTTTGCTAAGGAGTAATCTTTAATTTTCTTGTTTTTCGCCAAAAAGGGTATTGTGTCTTGCATCACTCTTACTATCAACGTCAGACCAAAAAAATTCGCTTAACTTCATATGCGAAGCAGTCACATGTTTTCCCACACAAATTTGAATCCTCTTTCCTCACCAGACGTTGATAGTAAGAGTGATGCAAGACACATGCAAACAGGTGTTCGACCATGGTGAACACACTGGAGATATCAGTTGACTGAAAACATCAAAAGATCTTGGAAAGGTTTTCTGAAGACTCTCCAGAGACCTGTTCTACAACTTTTTCGGTTCTTTTTTAGTACCATTAGATAAAGCGTGAAAAGTTGCATATTGTGTAAAAATATATGAATGGGCTATTTACACAAAAGGTTTCCGTTGGAATCGCGGGACTTGATTTTTTGAGATTTTCTAAACTCTTGGTTTTCCACAGACCTGGTTTGCAGGAATTTTAATGGAATTTTCATATGCACCTCA